GGATGGGAGGATGGGTGAGAGTGCAGAAGGGCTAATGGGTGAGAAGGAGGGTGGGGACGCGGATGAATGAAGAGTGAGAAAGGCAGAGGGGGAGCGGAGGCTGCACGGACGGGGTGATGTAGCAGAAGGAAATCACCCACTTTTCTTGTCGCGCACACAAACTGAAGAGCTGGGAGCCCTTCGCGACCCAAGTCCAGGCGCCTCCCGTTTGGCTGGAGACCCGGGGCGGGGGGGGCGGGTGCTCGGCCCCGGGGCGCAGGGCGGTCGGGCTCCGCGGGAGCAGGATCTCGGGTGGACCCGCGGGGGGCTCCGTGGACACCCCTCCCCGCCCGCGCCTGACGGTGCCAGGGTGGGGGGAGCGCCCCGCCCCCACCTCCGGAGGTGGCGCCCCACGCGGCCGCAACAAGCTGCCGTTGTCCCGCGGGCCGTGGGCCCAGCACACTGGGGCTTTGTCCGGCCCCGCCACGACCACGGGGGGGCCCCACATGACCGAGGGGGTAGGAGGAGCCTGCGGCGGTGGCGGCGGCGGCGGCGGCGGCTCCTTCGTTTCCCTCCAGGGCCGGGGGTCGGCGGGCGGTGGCGGCGGCGGCGGCGGGACCAGGTTGGGTAGGGCCGCGGACGCCAGGCCCCCGGTTCCCCGTCAGGCTGCAGGCTCCGGGCCCGGGCCAGCAGGGCAGCTGTGACCCGAGCGCTTTCCGGGCGGCGAGCTGGGGGTGCGCCCCGACCCCCGCCCCCAGGATCATGGGAAATGGCATGACCAAGGTAGGGGGGCGGCGACCGCGCATCCCTCACCTGGCTGTCTCCAGCCCTTCCGGCAGGCCACCGGCTGCGACTAGGTCGGTCTGCCCGCCTCTGACCTTCTGGTCCCTCTCTGAGCCCTGTGTGTCCACACCTCTGTGTCCCTGAGGTTCCGAGGCCGCGGCGTGTTCTCTCTCTCTGCCTGTGTCTGTCTGTCCTCTGTGCGACTCGGTGTCTTGCTGTATCTCTGTGGCTGTCTTGCTGTGTCCCTCTCCCAGACTCCCCAGACTCTGGTGCTGTTTTTCCGACCCTCCCCACTCGGCCCCTGCATGCCCTACACCTGCACTGGCCTCGGTCCTGGTCCTCCGGCTCCCAGCCCACTCCTCTGCTCTCCTCCCATTCCCCCTGGGCCCTTTGTCCCCTCCCTCTCTGTCCCCTAAGCCTCCCTCCTCTTCCCTCTCGCTGGTCCCCAAGCCTGACTCTCCCTTGGTTAACTTGCTGGCCTGCTCCCCCAGCCTCCCCAGAGCCCCAGACTCTCTCACAGAGGGCCCAAGCCGCAGCCATTGCTCCTGAGGGACCCTCATGGGACAGAGGGGGGGCTGTGAGTCCCCCAGCCACCCGAGGTGGGAAGTGGTGCGGCCCTGCCCTGCTGACCCCTGCCCCTTCTTCCTCTAGGTACTTCCTGGACTCTACCTCGGAAACTTCATTGGTGAGCACTGCCCACTCTGTCCCCAGCCTGAGTCCACCATCATACTCTGGCCCACACACCAGAGACAGGAATGGGGCTAGAGGTGGGGAAGCCACACCAGGCTGGGAGGAGGAAAGGGGTCCTGGGGGTTGAGGGGGAAGGGGCGGCCCTGGAGCGCTGGGGTCTGATGCTGACATCTTCCCCTTGCCAACCTCCACCCCGATTTCACCTCAAGGCCWAAGGGCAAGGTTCATGATCTGAGCTGGGACCATGCGGCAAGTCTGCTCTGCACCTCTGCTGCCTCCTTGGCTCAAGGCCCACCAGCCTCTCCAGGGCCCTTCTGGCCCTGTGGTTCTGAGCTGAGGTCTGCTTGAGGGTGTGTTTCCACCTGGGAATCAAGGAACCTTCCCCCATCCCCTTCTYTCCCGAGGAGGGGTCTCAGGCCCTCCTGTAAGCACAGACCCATCATCCAGCTGAGGCTGGGGTGGCAAGTCTATAAGCTTCTGCCTTCCCTGTTCTCTCATCCAACATTTCCCAACTTTCAAAGGGGGATGGGGACAAAGAGACAGCACCCCCCATCCCCCTCCTCAGGGGCTTCCAGGTGGCAGAAGGGAAGCAAATCTAAACAGAGATCTTTGTGAGGGAGGAAACAGGCTGAGGCAGGTGGTCCAGGGCTTGGGGGAATCAGAATAAAAAAGCCACTTCAGTCTACAGTGTTGAAAGGGAGGAGCTCAGATGYTCCACCCTCGTAAGCCCTGGTCCCTTTTTTCCTAGGACCCCAGTAGCTCCTGCCACATTGATTTCCATTGGCTATATTAAGGTCTGAATCCTCTTTAAGTATATAAGTCCCATGAGGATAAGGAGCCAGGGAGTTGACCCCCAGACCCCGACGGCTGCATACCATATGCACTCCCAAGATGATTGTTGAGTAAGGCATGGCCTTGTGGAGACGAGGGCCATGTACCGTTTATTCTGATACTAGAAGGTCTGCATGGGCTAAACATCCAGTCCCTAGAAAGGCTACTGTGGGACCTACCCCTGAGTAGTTTTCCATATATCTTTGTAGATACAAGATATAATATTTCAAACAAAATGGAAATCTATCCTGCACACTGTTCTGGAATCTGAACTTCCCACTTCAAAGTCTACTGTGTGCATTCTTGCACATCAGCACAGAGACGTTTTAATGTCTGCACAGTGTTCCAAACTATGAGTATGTCACTATTTACCAGTCCCTTTCTGATGGACATGAGGTGGTTGTAATTGTTTAACTATTCCTGATATGAACCGCGCTGCAGAGAACACTGTCTGCCACCCGACAGCTTTCTGTGTRTACAAACGCTTCTGTCCCCAGATTCCTAGAGGCAGAACTGCTGGGTCAAAGAATGTGCTGGGCAAGGGTGTTTAGGATGGAAAGAACAGCGTGAACAAGGCAGGGAGAGGCTGGGCTGTGTCCTCTGGGTGCCCCAGAGGCCATTCTGAGCCTCGGGGTGTACAGGACCTGGGGAAGGAGCCGCAGCCAGGGGAGGAGGGGCCCAGCGGTGAGGTGCAGAGCTGGGTGGCGGCTCTCGCTGTACTTAGCCTCAGTACCCAATAAGCCATACTTGCCAAATTGGCGCAAGCACCTGTTTCTTTCAGATGCCAAAGACCCGGATCAGCTGGGCCGGAATAAGATCACACACATCATCTCTATTCACGAGTCACCCCAGCCTCTTCTGCAGGTATTCTGAACCCCCATTCCAGGGCTGTGCATAGGTGGGGGATGGGCTCTAGATCTCCATAGCACCCATTTATCAACTACCTACCATATGCCAGGTCCTGTCTTATCTTCTTGACTCGTGCTTATGCCTTCTTCACCATTGGATTGGTTTATATTATCATCCTTATTTGGCAACTGAGGCCCAGAGAGGTAAATTAACTTACCTAAGGTCACACATCTAAGAAACTTACCAGCTGGGATTTGAGCACAGGCCATCTGGCCCAAGAAGTCTCTCCTTGATGCTTAAAAAGGCCCTCACAAAGCCACAAAGGCCCACGCAAAGGTCCTCACAGTGGCGCATGCCTGCAATATCAGCTCCTCAGGAGGCTGAGGCAGGGATATTGCAATTTTTTTTTAATAGAGAGGATTTTTAATATTTATTTTTTAGTTTTCGGCAGACACAACATCTTTGTTTGTATGTGGTGCTGAGGATTGAACCCTGGGCCACACGCATGCCAGGCGAGCGCGCTACCACTTGAGCCACATCCCCAGCCCAGGGATRTTGCAAATTTGAGGCCAGCCTCAGCAACTTAGCAAGACCCTGTTTCAAGTTTGAAATAATTATAAGGGCTGGGGACATAGCTCAGTGGTCAAGATTCCTGTGTTCAATTCCCAGTACTGGACAGGGGAGGGTGGACAAGATCTTCCTATTGCCTTACTGAATGGATGATTCCAAACAGATGATTCTGGGCTGTGTCTTGCTATGCAACCTTGGACTGTGACTTCACCTCTCTGGGCCTTTGATCCCCAACTCTGACTGTCCCCCCCAGGGGCTGTTGTGAAGGTGCAAAGAGAATGCAGGGTGGTGAATCTGCTTCCAACACTGCAAAGTGTGGTCCCCACTGCAGGGGCTGCATTGACATGGAATCCTGGGAGAGGGGAGGTGAGGGTGTCAGGACTGAGGAGGGAAGCAGTCAGTCTAGACCAAAGGCCCTGCAGTAGGAGACCTGGGTTCTCATCTTCATCACTTGTTCTCTTRCTGACCTTGGGCACAAGACTTCCCATCTCGGAGCCTCAGTTACCTGACCTACTAAATGGAATTTTTTATATCAGTACCTACCTCACTGAGTGGCTGACAGCCACATAATAGATGCTCAACAAATTAAAACTGATATAATACCAAAGTTTAAAATATTCTTATCACAGAAACAGAGACTCCTCCTCATCTGTTTATAAGTCTGTGTCACCAGGCGTGGTGGCACATGCCTGTAATCCCAGCGGCTCGGGAGGCTGAGGCAGGAGGATCTCAAGTTCAAAATCAGCCTCAGCAACTTAGCCAGGCCCTAAGCAACACAGTGAGACCCTGTCTCAAAATAAAACATAAAAAAGAGGAGCTGCAGGGGCTGGGGAGACAGCTCAGTTGGTGGAGTGCTTGCCTTGCATGCACAAGGCCCTGGGTTCCATCCCCAGCAACACACACAAAAAAAAAAAACCTGGGGAGCTGAGGATGTGACTCAGTGTAAAGCGGCCCTGGATTCCATCCCTATTACCAAAAAAGAAAACCTGTTCTGCCACAGATGCGCTATGTGGGGTAGGGTCCTTTCCCTCCCTTTCCCTCTCTGGGCTCGGTTTATTCAATTTGGGTCCTTTTTTGAGGTGCTGGGGGTCAAGCCCTGGGCCCAGACATACTATGCAGGTGCTCTTCTTCTGACCTACACCCCAGCCCTAGGCCTCCATTTTTTCATGTGACAGATTTGATAGTCTCTAAGGGTACCCTCCAATAATCTATGACTTTCAGTGTCAAAGAAGAAATTTCCAAGCCATTGGGAGTGTGAGTTTGCTTTATAGGGCAGCCTCGTTCTAGAGTATTGAGAATATGCAATCTAAATAGACTGCACAGGGAGGGTTGTCAGTTATTAATATATTTACCTGTGAGGTGACTGCTTACAAAAATTAGCCTGTGCCCCAGCGGCCCTCCCTCCTCTCACTAGCCTCTCTCCATCCCAGGCACCAGTGAATYTAGCAGAGTTTGATAATATCATGCAAACCCAAGGCCAAATGTTTTGCAAAGTGAAATTGCAAACCTTGCAAAAGATGCAGAGTTTCATGACCTTGGGGAATGTGAGCTAGGTAGAGAAGGCCAGGACTTCACACAAAGCCTTGGGCAAATGCAGGCCTAGTGGTGGGTCACTTGAACATCAAAATATCRAGAAAAGCAATGAGGTCCTCAGGAYGTGAGCAGAAATAATCTTGACAAAATTATGWGGAAATTAATAAGCATGAAGCAAAGGGTATCACAGCAAATGTGTTGGAAAAATTACCCACAGTTGATTCCTTGACTAATATGTAAACTTGGTTTTATAATTTTTACTTCTTTTCAAGATAAACAAATCTGCTCTGCCCTTTTTACTATGTAATTTTGCAATCTCCACTTGCAGGGGAGACACTTTCCCAGGCTATTGGATAAAAGGTTTGCCAAGTCCTTCTTATCAAGTCCTCATRTCCAAGACACCTATGAAGTTAGGGCATTGTCTGCTCAGAAAGCTCTGAATCACAGACAGAGTTGGGAGGCTCACAGAAATGGTATCTACTTTCTTTGGACAGAAAGAGAAGARTGGCCCAGAGAGAGGCAGGAACTAGGCTGGGGTCACACAGCACTTGGGTTGCTCAGGCCAAGGAAAGGGGGTGCAGGCAAGGTCCCCACTCCCTTAGCGTGGGTTTTTGCTTATTTATGTGCTATTGGGGATTGAACCTAGGGGGACTCTGCCAAGGAGGTACACCCCCAGCCCTTTAAAACAAACCAACAAAAAAACTTATATTGAGAAAAAGCCTTGCTAAATAGCTCAAGATAGCCTCAAACTTGTGTTTCTGTGCCTCAGGCTTCAGAGTCACGGGGACTCCAGGTGTGCTTTGTCTTTGCAGGATATCACCTACCTTCGCATCCCGGTGGCTGACACCCCTGAAGTACCCATGTGAGTTTCCCTGAATGGACCAACAGAGCTACCTCCTGTGGTGGGGGAGGGGAGGCCTGAGGAAGGACAGAGAATACTCACACCGGATAGCTATAGCTGTCACAGGGCACCTCTACCCAAGTTTGACACTGTCTCAACCATGCTCTTGTGGTAGGTCCCCATCCCTCATTCCTGAGCCTCAGTAGTCTCCTCAGCAATGAGATGGGGACAGTTCCCTGCCTCTAGGGATCAGGTGCACCAGCAGATTCCAGAAGGTGAGGCTCAGCCTGTTCCTGGCCTTGGAGTTAAGACATCTGGGTTCCAGCCAGCCTTTGCCATTCCCTGCTGTGTGACCTTGGGCAAATCACTTCCCATCTCTGAGCCTCATCTGTAAAACAGGGTTCTGACCAGAGGCAAKGAGGCTTTCAAAGGTCCGATGACATGCCTTAAGGATCTAGGACAGGACTTATTGTGTAGTGAGGGCTCAGGAAAACAGACATTTTTGCTGGGGTTATTCGCATCCGTGCCCTTCAGCTCGGGATGGACCCAGGCTGAACTCCTGCCCCGTGGGGAATTCTGCTCCCAGCCCAYGGCTGACTGTCATTGTTCCTAGATGTTCTTACGTGTGGCCTTTCAAGGACATAGGTAGAAGGTGACCCCGGGGTCCCACTCTTGAAGACCCTGAAAAGTGGGACCCCGGGTCTCCTCCTATTTCCTTGAAAAGCCAAAACCGGACCCCAGGACCCTGCAGGGAGGCTCTGCGGGATGGCGGCCCCTCCCAGCCTGGCCTGCCACCTCCGCTGCCTCCCACACCTCCCCCTGCTCCCTGCAAACGCTGGCTGACCTGAGCGCCCAGGGCTCCTGGTCCCTTGCTAGTCCCATGAGGAAAGGGCTCCCGGGAAACCGCCCCATACTCGCTCCTCTGTCCTCTCTTCTCCAGCAAAAAGCACTTCAAAGAATGTATCAGCTTCATCCACTGTTGCCGGCTCAATGGGGGGAACTGCCTTGTGCACTGGTGAGTTGAGGGGGATCTGGTGGCTGTCCTCCATCCCCAACACACAGCCATCCCGTGGGCCACAACACCCACAGTCCGCCATTCATCCAGAGGAGCCACCCACAGGCTCAAGTCAGGGTCCGGTTCTTTACCAGCCCTGTGGTCGCAGCCCAGCAGTTGTTTCTCCCTGTGATTCAGTTTTGACATCTGTAAAATGGGGAAAAGGTTGTTGAGCTGACAGGGCTGTTGAGCTGTTGAGAGAGAGAGAGAGAGAGAGATGACCCAGAGAGGGGCAGGAACTGGGCTGGGGTCACACAGCACTTGGGCAGTCCATTCCTCCTGGCTCCCCCTCTCCTCCCTCCCAGGCTTGTGAGGTGGGGAATCCAGGCTAGGAGGAGAGACTTTTGATCTACTCATTTACCCCAGGCCTTGCCTATGTCATTCATTCCACAACTTCTCACCAAGCACCTGTCCTGTGCCTGGCTGGGGCTCTGGCAGAACCAGACTGAACCTGGCCGGCACTTCTGGAGCCTCCATGAGACCACTCTCTCAAGCCTTGCCTTCTCTCTCCCTCCTTCCCCGTTCCAGTTGCACTAGACTCCCATATTTCAAATCCACCAGACTTCCACCTTACGGTCTTGGTGCACGCTGCCTAGAACATGGTTGGCTGACCCTTACCTATCTCTCAAGACCTCTGAAACCCCTTCCCTGACCCTTCCTCATCATCCCCACTAGATCAACACCTCTTCCTCTATGGAACTCCTAGGCCCCAGACTCATCTTTAACACAGTTACCACCACCTGAAATCATGTCTCTGGTTAGTGTCTGTGTCCCCCAACTTACTGAGCTCCAGGACAGCAGAGACCATTGCTTTTTTATTCCCCCCCTGTATCCCCAGGACCTGAAAAAGGAAAAGATGATGAGGAAATATTTTTTGAATGAATGAATGAGGTTTCGCCCAGGCCCTTGATGTGGGAGAGAGAATGCCAGGCAGAGGGAATCTCATGGGCAAAGACCTGGAGCTAGGAGGAGAGGTCCTGGCCAGTTGCTTGTGGTTGGAGGAAAGGGCAGGGGCGCTGCCGTGGGCCGGTGCCTGGGAGGTATGGGGGAGATGGAACCTTACCTGAAGCCTGGGGGCTGCTGGGGAGCCCAGCTTTGCAGGCATCTCCCGMAGTACCACCATTGTGACAGCATATGTGATGACGGTGACGGGGCTGGGCTGGAGGGAAGTGCTTGAAGCCATCAAGGCCACCCGGCCCATCGCCAACCCCAACCCAGGCTTCAGGCAGCAGCTGGAGGAGTTTGGCTGGGGAAACTCCCGGAAGGTAAGGGCTGGCAGGAGCTGCTTGGTCTGGGGGGTTCCGGGGACCCTTCTTTCCACTTGAACCTGGGCAGGATTTGGAGGGATTCAGCCCAGGCTTCAGATCTGGCAGATTATCCTGGGGTCTTGAACTAATCCAGCCCCTGAGTTTAGTTTCTGTTAACAGCCAGGTAGGTTTGGGGGCTGCCCCTAGACCAGTCTGTAGACCCTTCAGTCTGGCCAGGTGTCCCAACATGCCCTCAGGCCCTATCTATCTGCCTGCCACCTAAAGCTTTGAGGRTTTAACCTCTTGGGGGAAAACTGGCCCTGCCACACCCCAACTTTGGATCTTTCTGAGGTCAAAGCCAYCCCCTTCCTTATCTCTCCCAGAATTTCAGGAATTGAGGTCACCCCGGGCACAAAGGGTGAGAGAGGAGGGAGGAAAGAGGGGAGAGCTGGGGACAGCCTGAAGGCTCCCAGCAGGGTGACAGAAGGGTCCCCAGAGGCTTATCTACAGGGCTGTGCTAGAAAGAAGCCCTGGTGAGCGCAGTTGCTGAGACCACCCGATGTGGTCAGAGGCCAGAGGGAGGGGTTCATGCGGCCCCCGCTGTGTAGGTGGGGGTCACTTTAGCAAATCTGGAAAATGGAGGGAGTTGCAGAGGGAGAGGGACTCCAAGGGATGCTCGCGAGGGCGGGCGGGGTGGGCAGCGGGCCGAGGGCGGCGGCCCTGGGGCGGGACAGACCCTGACTCCGCAGCGGCCACCCCAGCTCCGCCGGCAGCTGGAGGAGCGCTTYGGGGAGAGCCCGTTCCGCGACGAGGAGGACGTGCGCGCGCTGCTGCCGCTGTGCAAGCGCTGCCGCCAGGGCTCCGCCACCTCGGCCGCCTCGGCCGCCCCGACCCCGCCGCACTCGTCAGCCTCGGACGGGACCCTGCAGCGCCTGGTGCCGCGCACGACGCGGGACGCCCACCGGTCGCTGCCGCTGCTGGCGCGCGTCAAGCAGACTTTCTCTTGCCTCCCGCGGTGTCTGTCCCGCAAGGGCAGCAAGTGAGGACCCCACCCCAAGCGGCTCCCCTCGGCCTCCCGCTCCGCCCCTTCGGGGGCTGTCTGGGCCCCCCACCGTCAGGACGGGCCCCGAGGCTGTGGGAGCCCCGCCGAGGCCCGATCCCTGCCCCCACGCCCACCTCGCCAGTCTGCGTCCGCGGTCAGTGTGTCCTCCCTCTGTGCGTCTGTGTCCGGGCCGGCCAGCTGCAGCCACCTGGTGCCTTAGTCCTTGGGCTGGGGGAGGGCCCCGGCTTCCACCCGTAGTGGCGGCGGGAGCGGGAAGTGGGTAGGGTAGGGGTGGACGGGGCTGGAGGGACATTAAAGAGACACGAAAGCTGCCTGACCCCCTGCCTGTCATTCAACAAAGGCCAGACCCTGGTGTCTGCGGAAAACAGGGCCAGGTGTGCAGTGTGCAGCCGTCGGGGACGCAGGAACCCAGCCTCCTCAACTGCGGTCCGCAGAGCTGGATTCTGGGACCTCGAACTCCTGACACAGCCCCTCCTCTCTCCCAGAGCCCTGATCTCCCTCCTGAGAGGCTCCTAAGTACTTCCTTCCATCTCTCGAAGCCCCCCACCTCTTCTCCATACAGGGACTGGCCAGTAAGGTCCAGTAGTGCTTCCCCAACACCTGACCTCTCATTGCTTAAGTTTACTTTATTTTAGGGGAAGATGTAAGCCTCAGAAAGGTCAGGCAGCTTGCTCAGGAACACACAGCTAGAACTGGGAAGCCTAAGTCTCATGACAGTTGGTAGGAAGTAGCTCCTGATTTGGGAGGATACTGGTGGGGAGAACCCACCTCCAGCTAGTGGGAATCATCCTTCCCAGCTAGAGTTTAAAAGCAAGAGCAAGCAGGGACTGACCCCAAGAATGAATGAATAGAGGTCATCAGAGCTGAGGAGTTTGAAGTAGCAATAACCCAACAGCCACTGCTATGGGCTTCTAACTTTGTTCCAAGCCCTGGGTATAGGGGGCCTGAATGAAATGACCTTCCTGTCATCCCAATCTTCTATTTCTCCTYCATTTACCAAATGTTCATTGAGCRCCTACTGTATGTCAGGCACTGTGTTGGGCACTGGATTTACAGCAGTGGGTAAGACCTCTGTCCTCACCTTGCTGACATTCTAGTAAGATACCAGGTAAGAAAAAGGAAACATACCAGGTGGTGAGGGAGTGGGCCATTTTGCTACTGAGGAGTGTACGGAGCCTGTGTCTTCTTGGATAATTTATGGTACCACCGTCCAACTGGTTTAAAACACTCAGATGGTGTCTTCCCCTATTTAAAAACCACAGGCCCCATCACCTGGAGGACAAAACAAAGCCCCCTGATCTGGTGTTCTGTGTCCTTCAACATGCTCCCTCCCCCCTTCCAGCACTCCTCCACTGCCTTGGACTCACAGCACACCACTCATTTGTGTTTGTGCTCACTCAGGCTGTATGCTAAACTTTCTACCTGCATCTCAGGCTATTCAACAGATGAGGAAAACTGAGGCTGGCGCCCAAGGTCATCAGGTAGCAGGTGTTGGGGAAGTCTGGCTGTAGACCCCACCCTCTAGACACCATCCTCTGCAACCTAGAAAAATGAAGGGATGGTCCAATACACTGAGGACTCCTGCTTAGTTGTACAGCCTGCCTCAGACTCTGAAAATTTAACCAAACTTGGGCAAAAAAGTGTCTGAAAAAAAATCGCATCTGTATTCAACATACACAGACTTTTAATTTTCTTGTCATTATTCCCTAAACAATACAGTTTAACAACTATTTACAAAGCATTTACATGAGAGGTGATTTAAAGTCTAGGATATASGTAGGTTAAATGCAAATACTACATTATTTTATATAGGAGACTTGAGCATCCATGGATTTCAGTATCCAAAGGGGTCCTGGAACCCATCCCCCACAAATACTGAGGGTGACTGTCATTATTCTTGTAGCTAATCATATGAAATAATTTGTGCTCTGCTCCACTGGAGTCTAAACCCAGACTGTGTCTATGGAAGTGCTGCTGGCACATGGAAGGGGGACACAGGTGCACATGAGGGACAGTGCTTGGGTCTCTGGTCAGTGCTGGCTGGAGCCCCGCTCTCTGCCTGCTTCAGGAGAGGATGTTATTCTCTCCACCCTGTTTCACTAGGGGCTGGAGCAATCTGAATTTCTTAAAATCTTTCAGGTCAGGAATCCCCTTTTGACAATTGAACGAAAGAAACGTAAAATACATAGATGTGACAAAATTTATGTACTATTTCACAGGATCACAGACCTCACCAGGAATCCATAAATCCCAAGTATAGCTGCCAGGAGGTAGGCTGCAGCACCATTTAGGTCTCTGGACTCTCCCCAGTCAGCTTTGAATGCTGACTCTCCCACCAGACTCTGGGACTTTGTTACAGGGCTTCAAACCTTCTGAGCCTTGATCGTCTTCATGTTAAAATAGGTAATGAGGCTGCGTTGAAGCTCAGTGGTAGACGGCTTGCCTAGCTTGTTTGAGACCCCAGGTTCAACCCCAGCACCACAAAATAAGCAATTAGACTTGTCTCCTGTGCTCTTGTGAGAACCAATGTAGGCACCATAGGGAAGGGTTCAGGCCCAGCACCACAGTGAGCAGTCAGTAAATGGGGATTCCCAATATCTGAAGAAAGAAGTGTGGCTCTGGGCCACCTGCATCAGAATCCCTCCTTCAGATTCAGGTTCCTGGGCTTCTGGCCCAGAAAGTCTGATTCCTCCAATGGGGTCGGGAGTCGGCACCAGAAACGGGTTCCAACCTAGCCAGTCCAGGTTCTGAAAAGAGACTGAAAGCCAGGGGAGGTGTGGTCCCGGCCACTGGGGAGGTTGATCCAGGAGAATCTCTTAAGCTCAGGACTTCAGGGGCCAGCCTGGGCAATTTAGGGACACTGGGGGGGGGGGTTGGCATGGGAAGAGAGGGAGGAAGAGAAGGAGGGAGGAAGGGAGGGCGCGCAGAAGAAAGGAAAATCAGAGACCAACAAGTGTCCAGGGGGCTAGGCAGAGCAGACCACGGGCACAGGAGTGGGGCAGTGTTTGTTCCCTGGGTAGCAGTCGAGCACCTTCCTCCCAGACCCAGAGCCCAGGCCACCCACCGGAGTGCTCCTTGGGTCTTGGCAGTCCGGGYGCCTCTCTACAACCACCACGTGAGGCCCAGCGCCCTCGGGCCAATCTGTCGCGGGGAGGGGCAAAAGGAAAGCGAGAGGGGACGTAACAGAAAGCGAAACCCTCGCTCAGACTTTCACTTCCTTGGGCTCCGCGCGCCATCCAGGGGCCTGGTGATCCCTGAACCCGTGCGGGTCCCCTCGGGATCCAGCCCTCGCTTCACAGAGCTCCAGATGGCCAACGGCCCCTGGCGGAAAGAGGAAGAGAGRGTCCCGATCAGCAATGGACCTATGTTGAGAACCGGGGGTCCCCTGCGTCTCCGCGACTGGCTAGTGGCACAGATCGAGAGCGGACTCTACGCCGGGTTGCGCTGGGAAGACCCGGACAAGACCCTCTTCCGCATCCCCTGGAAGCACGCAGCCAAGCAGGGCTACCAGGCGCAGCAGGACGCAGCGCTCTTCAGGGTAAGGGTCAGGAGCCTACGGACCCCAGCCCGGGACGGCTCTTGCAGCTCATGGTGGCAGCGGACCAACCCATGAGCTGTGTGACCTTGGGCCACTAGCTTGGCCTGGAGAACTAAGGGTAGTGTCCTCCATATGGGAGAACCTCAGACACCTCCTAAAACAGAATCAGCCAGGCTGGCGGTGGACCTGCACCATCCCCATCTCCTCCCACCCCACGGCAGAATGAGATGCCTCTCATTCCAAGCCCACCAGACCCTGCAACTTGGGAGCCTTCTCCGTGCTCCCATATTGGACCTTTTCAGGGCCCCCTGCAGAAAGAACTCCTTCCCCTTGGCCATCCTTAACTTTCTCCAAGTTGACTCCTTTCCATGCACACTCTGAAATCTCTCCCCAAGCAATAAGCAGCCAACTGCACACCAGGCCATTGTCACCACTCCAAACACCCAGGTCACCTCCAGCTCCTCCTTCTTTAGCTTCACCTCTCCCTTCACACCAAGAAGTACATGCAATGTCCTCTTCATTTATCTCCTCCTTCCCAGTCCCCCCACCATGCCCCAGCACCCCCAGTCTGCTTTCTGTCCCTCCTGCTAATATCTCTAGTTGCCAAATCCTGGGATACATCCCAGCCTTCACCTCCTTGACTTCTGCATAGGCTCACACCTGGTGGACTCTCCCTTCTCCCAGAATCACTCTCACTTGTATTCCAGAATCTACCCCTCTTGTCCCAACCCCTGCTGCCATTTTCCTCCCACCTCCCAGGCCCMTGCTGCTCAGCCTCCATCTCCTCCCCTCCTCTATGGGGGCTCCCAGCACTCCCTCTGGACCTCCTTCCTCAGCCTCAGCAGGGAGGCTCCAGGCCTCCCCTCCAAGCCTCAAGCCTGCTGATCTTGAAGTCTCCCAGATGCTATCTCCTGGGTGGCCCCCAGGCCCCTCAGATTCCGCCTATGACTGTACCACATTTGTCAGCTCACCCCCCACAAAATTCTGCCACCTGGGCACCTGAACCCTASCTGCTCTGCAACTTCCTACCTCATAGTATCCAATTAGCAAGGCCTGCTGGCTCTTCCTGCAAAACATCTTAAACCCATTTCCACCCTCTCTCCCAGGACAACTGTAGTGACCTCCCTGAGCTCCCCCCTCCTCCCACCCCCGGCCCTCAGCCATCCCCTCAGTCCTTTCTAAGTGCAAAGATGTCCTCCTCAGAGTCCTTCCAAGGCTCCTATTGCCCCTCACCCTGGCCTCAAAACCCCGCAGAACTGCCCCTCCCCGCCTCCTCTCTCGCCACTCCCTTCCCTCCCTAGCTTGGGTTCTTTCACTTTCTAAATACTTGGTGTGTTGCCTTAGGACTTTGTACGTGCTGTTCCCTCTTCCCCCTCCTGGCCAGCTCCCSTCAGCCTCAGCTCAAACATCTCTTCCTCAAGAGAGTCTTCCCTGGTGCACTCATTAATTTAATGCATTTATTAAGCACCAACTCAGTGGCCTCCCAAGTCATCCCCATGGGAGCCAGTATGAGTTCCCTATGAGTTTTCCTGCCTGAGATGACTCTGTCTCCTTACAGCAGACTGTGAGCTGTGTGAGGGTGGCAACACTGTGCACAGTGCCTGGCATATAGTAGGTGCTCAATAAGTGTTGAACAGGTAGATGCATGGCTTATCCCTTAAGCTTTATTCACTGTAGTTCAAAAGAGGGGGATTCTGGGGGCTGGCCCTCCCCATCCCTCAACCCACCACTAATATACATATGTGACTCCGTGGCCCCAATAATATGTGACTTCTGGTGCCCTGTACCCATGGGATAAAGCTTGACCTTCAAGATATAATCTGTCTTCAACCCATGTCTTCTTCCTTAATTCCTCTCCCCTTTCCCCCAGCACACATAAATATGAATTTCATATTTGCAAATTCTCCTGCTTGCCAAAATGTATTTGTATTCCCCAAATCAATACTTGAGGCACTTTTGCAACCATTCATAGATATGCACAGAATGACCAAAATGTCAGTTGCCCAGTGGGGACATCTGAAGCTGAGAGCGCTGCCTTCTGTCTTCAGCTCCCACACGGTGAACATTGACCCTTCCATGGTCTATGTAGTGCCGTATGTTTAATATTTTGTGAGTGATGTCCCTATTTAGAATGACCCCCAAGCATAATGCTGAAGCGCTGTCTAGTGTTCCCCAGTGCAAAAGGCCACCATGTGCCTTAGAGAGAAAATTCATGTTAGATAAGCATTGTTCAAACATGAGCGATAGTGCTCTTGGCCATGARTTGAATGTTAATGAATCAACAGTGTATATTAAAGAGTGTCCTTCAACAGAAAACACATTAAACAATGTTATGGACTGGTCAGTTGAAGAAAATGCTGTGACCAGAGAATTGCAGAAACTTAGCCCTGTATTTCCCCATGTGTGTGCCTTAGAGAGAAAATTCATGTTAGATAAGCTAATAATGGTGTCATATTGGCTAATTCAGTGTTTGTGGAGACTTAACAGAACATAACTAACTTGCGTAACAAGAGTCTGCACTGAGGCATACATGCCCAACCCCTTGCTGATGTCAGACATTGCAACGTTTTTGCCATAGGTGTCTATTATTTTTGTTTTCGTGCTGGGCATTGAACCCAGGGGTGCTCTATCCCTGAACTACATCCCCAGCCCTTTGTATTTTGTATTTTGAAACAGGGTCTTGCTAAGTTGCTGAGGCTGGTCTCAACTTGCCCTCACCCTACCTCAGCCTCATGAGTCACTGAGATTTCAGGTGTGCATCACCATGCCTGGCTTCATGCCTATTAAGTTTTGCTTTTGATGTGCTCTCTGGACTGACTCATTTCAATATCCTTAGTTCAAGGATAGGTGTACAATAAAAGAGTAACAGAGAAGAATGCAGCAGATATAATGCAAACTGATGTCTCTGGTTCCATATTTTGCCTCAAGAATCTCTCATCTGGGGGCTGGGGCTGTAGCTCAGTGGTGGAGAGCTTGCCTAACATGTGAGAGGCACTGGGTTGGATCCTCAGTTTCACATATAAATAAATAAATAAAGCAAGCTATAAAAAATACTCTCTCATCTGAAAAGTAGGAGGCTAATTAGAACCAAGTTTATTTATGTTATTAGTATTTATATAATGTTACTCATTTCATCTTTTTGGATYTAAATTCCCTCTTTTATAAAAGGAAGGAAGACTAATTCTTAAAGTCTACTTAACTCAATAATTCCATGATTCTACAATGGAATCATATACTAGTAATAAAGATTTGTTAATATTTTAAAAAGAGATGTTCTCTGCCTCTGGAAGATTTCTCCTGTATTATTGTCTATTAATCTTATAGTTTTATCTCCTATCCATGTTTTTTTAAATCATCTGGAGTCCACTTTGTTGGTGGCAATAGGTAGGGACTTAGTTTCATGATGATCCGGATAGCAAACCATTGCCATTATTGATATGCCATCACTTTATTATTTATTGTTGTTTATCACAATCCATAATTGGGGACATGATGATTTCTGATCAGCTGATCACAGCTGCCCTCTGATAGGATTGAGTTCCTTGAGACCCAGGCTCATATGTCTTGCTTCCCATCAAATCCACAGCTCTTTCTAGAATATAGTAGGAACCCAAAGACTATGGGAGGGGGAGAGAGCCCCAGAGAAGGATTTAGAGCCAGGACAGTCTCTCATCCCCCCCCCCCCGCACAGCCCCCCAAGTGCTCCTGCCCTGCTCTCCTTCAGGCCTGGGCTGTGTACAAGGGCAAGCACTTGGAGGGTACTGACAAGGAGGACCCCTCCACCTGGAAGACGAGGCTCCGCTGTGCCCTCAACAAGAGCATCGACTTCCGYGAGGTGCGCGAGCGCAGCCAGCTGGACACCTCCCACCCCTACAAGGTCTACCGGCTGGTGTCTGACCATACCTCCCGCCCAGGTACCACCCTGCCCCTAAGGGTAGTGGCCGAGGGTGGCTCTCTGGGCAATGATGGACCTGTTGAGCTTGAACTCTGGGGAATTTAGAAGGCGTTTAGATCTCCCAGTTTCCCTGTTAGAAAAGGGGGAAGGGCTGGGGTTGTGGCTCAGCGGGAGCGCTTGCCTAGCATGTGTGAGCACCGCATACAAATAAGTAAAAATAAAAGTCTATTAACAGCTAATATTTATATACAGAAAAGGGGGAAGCAGGGGCTGGGACTGTAGCTTGATGGTAGAGCGCTTGCCTAGCACATGTGAAGCATGGGGTTCAATCCTCAGCACTCCATACAAATAAACCAATAAAATAAGGCATGCTGTCCATCTACAACTACCAAAAAAAAAAAAAAAAGAAAAGAAAAGAAAAAGAAAAAGAGAAAGAGAAAGAAAAGGGGCAGGTCCTGCAGTGAGCTGCTGTGCTTTTGACTGGGGTGACCTTAATTGAGGGGTCCTTTTGGGGCCCTGGGAACAACAAGCTGTTCTTGCTCCATTCAGTTTCCAAGGTCCATGCTTCTCCTGCAAAAGAGGGCACTCCCTCAAGTCAACAGCGACCCCMTGGAGAAGCAACTGGGCCTGCCTGCAGGGGACATCAGGTCAGTGTGGCCTTTGAGCCCCTGAAGACTTGTGGGCTCAGTCACTGCTCAGCGAAGCCACCCCGTGGCCTCCTCTCTGTCTGTGATCTCCAGCAATCATTCACCTCATCCCTCCATGAACCCCACCCATYCCCCCACCAGCTCTGCTTTCTTGGTACCTGTGGCCCCCCTTCCCAACAAGCCCCAGCCCCATCACCCTTTGACCTCCCCACCTCTAGTGTGCCCTCTGCCCCCCCCACTCCATCTCCATCATTCTGTCTGATCACCTCTGTTATCTCCTCCCTGTCACCTCTCCCCATCATCTATGGGTCATTGCTCTGACCCATTCCCCTGTCAGCTCCGGCCCTTTCTGTGTCCTTAACGCCCCCATCAGCCCCTGTTCTGTGGCTCTGCCTCCCCATCTCCTTCATCTCTAGCTCCTTCGCCTCCATGTTCACCTCCAGCACTTCTCTCCCCAGCTCTCATACTATCACCTCCAACACTCCTATCTGCTCTTCGGAGTGGGGAGGGTCTTGAGTTCCCATCAGCCGGAGCTGGCCTTCAGTCTGCCAGACCTCCCCCTCTCCAGGTGGCATCAATCTAGCAAGCCTTGGGGCCCTGGGTCTCCTCTCTATTTTCATGGCCAGCCCTTTCTTCCAATGCTCAGGATGGCTCCAGATTAGCCACAGAGGATGAGGACAAGGAGCAGCCCCCAAGGCTGGCCCAGCARGGCTCCTTGCCACCAGCCGCCCTCCTCCCAGACCCTTTGGCTGACCACAGTAAGAACTCAGTCTCCTCACCCGCCCCAGCCTCCTCCCTGGCCTCCCCCTGGATCTCCAGGTCCAGGAAGTCAGGGTGAGGTTGTGTCTGACTGATCCCCTCCTTCCCCAGGGTACCAGGCACAGGACCTTGGACACCCCTGGAGCTCAGTGCCCTGTGAGGACTTCAACAGCCCTGGTAAGGAATCTAAAGGCCCTCTCCTAAAATAAATAAATATCCTCTCCTCTGACCAGTGTGCAGAACTGGGGAGGGCTGGGGATAGGGCCAGCTAGCCTGTGTCTCCTGCCCCACAGGGACTCCCCAAACAGCCACAACACCTAGCATTCAAGGACTTAAGTTTGTGTCAGGCATCTTTCTAAGTTCTCCCTATAGACCTGCAATATAGAGGCTGCCATTGCCCCCATTTTACATATGCAGACACTCGACCTTGCTCAAGGTCACACAGCTAGTTACTAAAAGGTCACAGCTCCTAAGGGGCAGTGGGAGAATTGAATCCAAGGGCTGCAGAGCCCGCAGCCCRAACTCATATTGAACTGTACTGCTGCTCCTCCTACCGCTGTGTTATTGCCGTTGCTGTTATTATTTCAACCAGTATTAAATCTTTGCTGGGAGAGCCTAGAGATCTGGGCTAGGAGAGCCTCCAGGCCATACCCTCCTGTACAGGCGGTCCCAGACCCTATGCTTTAACCACAGAACTCCACTACTGGTTCGTCTCCACTGGAAGCTATCATTTCACTATCACCAMTGCTAGAATATTATTGTGACTGATTGGGAGGGAGTGACAAATTCCCGAAGTGGGAGCCAGAAGGACCTCCCGGTGCGCCGCCCCCCGGCTGTGTAGGCCGGTGGCAGGGGAAGGGGTGGCCTGCCAACGCTCCGCCCGCGCCCTCTCCCTGGTGCCCGCAGATTACTGGCTGCACGTGCGTCTTTTCTATGGCCCGGCGCTGGTGCGCGAAGCCACCGCGCGCACCGCGGAGGGCTGCCATCTTAGCCCCGGGACAGCTGCCTCCGCCGCCGCCCAGCGCCTGCTGGGGCCGCCCGCACGCTTGGCGCAGGTTCACTTCCCCGAGCCTCCGCCGGGCGCCCGCGTGCTGCGGCGCCTGCTGCCGCACCTCGAGCGCGGCGTGCTGCTGTGGGTGGCGCCCGAGGGCGTGTTCGCCAAGCGTCTGTGCCAGGGCCGCGTGTACTGGCGTGGCCAGCTAGCCCCGCACCGCGCGCAGCCCAACAAGCTGGAGCGCGAGCACACCTGCCAGCTGCTCGACACGCGCCGCTTCCTCGAAGGTAAGCGCGCTGTAGCTCCGCCCTAGGCGCGGGACAGAGGGCTGGGCCGGGGGCGTGGTCACGCGGTAGCCAAAGGAGAGTGGGCATCCGAGAGGAGGATGCCGGGATCTGGGCCCAAGCGTCCTGGGCTTGGGGTAAGCATCGAAACAAAGGTCACAGCTCAGAAGCGCCAGGGATGGGAAAGAACGTGGACATCAAGAGGGCTGGCCACAGATCCCGGTCTAGGTCTATAAGGGGCGTAGGCGCCGGGCATACTGAGGCCCTTAGATCTGTGACATAAGCCTAGGACTCAGGTACATTTGTTGGCATAAGAGCGCGGGGCATGGGGTGGGCATCAGAGCACTGGCAGACATAGGTGAATAACAATAAGCATGGAGTAGGCCTAATGACCTGAGAGTGGGCAGAGGGACACCAGGCAAGGGACATGAAAGCAGAAAGTGGGTGCAGATGTGGGACATAGCACAGGCACAAAAAGCTGGCCTAGGGCATGGGCACCCAATGGGGATGTGAGCTTACAGAACCTGGGCTCAGGATATAAGCACAAGGTGGGCACCGGGTGGGACGCCTGCTCGGCCAGCCACAGTCCCAGCCCCACAGTCCCGGTGCTTGCAGAGCTGCACGCCCACCTGCAGGATGGACGGCCCGAGCCRGAATACCAGATCCGCCTGTGCTTTGGCGAGGAGTACCCGGGTCCCCCAGACCAGCCGGAGGAGAGGCTCGTCATGGCTCACGTGAGTCACTCCCTCCATCCCACAAGAAGAACCACACCCTCCAGGCCSTCCTGTCCCTCTCCATACCCAGCCCCATCCCACCCAGACCTGTATGGCCCTCTAATATATATATAAATGGGTGTGGGGACAAGGCTGTCACTAGGGCTGTGACTTCCCATGGAAACAGAGAGTTGACTGCCTCCGGTCCCCACAGGTGGAGCCGTTCTTCGCCCGTGAGCTGCTCCTGCACGCCAGGCGACTTCGCCCTGGCACCCCTCGGGGACCCCAGCAGGGCATCCTGGATGGCCTCACCCACCTTTGACAGTCAACCCCACTCGGGATGCTTCCCCCTCTCCCACACACTAAAGGAAGCCCCACCACGGGGTGAGACACCCCAACCCTGCCCTCACTGAACCAGTGGACTTGGGGCCTCCCTCACCTATTGCCCTGATAACGRACAGCTTAGGCGTTGGTGGCCTTAACTCTCCCTGAAGGGAATGGATCCTGGAACGCCGAGGGGGTCGGAGGCCCAGCGCTGGGCCTAGAGCGTCAGCCGGAAATAGAATTCGACCTTGAGGCCCCAGGAAAAACAGTAATGGGGTTAGAAACAGGACTAAATYGCCTGTTGAAAGCCCAACACGTCAACAGCTGCTTAGAGCTAGTCTTATGGTGCCATTGGGTTCATTTGCTTAAAGCCTAGTTGACCTCAGGGTGGTTCAGAGTGGGAACAACCAGTAGCAGTTGCTTGGCCTCTGAGGGACTCTGGGCTTCCAGATCCTTCCTCCCAACTGCTGCTAGTCTCATTCCTTTATCTGAGGGTCAATGAGAGGGATCCGGAAACAGAGAATTTGAACCCTGGGTTTCAGATGCTGACCACTGAACCACCAGCACAGTCTTTAGAGAGTGAGGCAGGATCCCAAACATAACCCTAAGGCAGAGGCCACAGTGGCAATCCAGTCCCTCCCCCAGCCCCACTCATCTTCACAAACTGTGAGTCGTGGGGAGGATTGGGAGGGTTCCCAACTGGAAGAATTAACCTCGATGTTAAATMCCCCCGCCTCATGGGTAAAGCAACATTTTTCTTGCTTTTCTGATTTCTGACTTTATTTATAGGAATCCTCTTACAGATGCCAACATAATAAATCTTTTAGTGATGCATTAATAAGTGCCTGTGTGTGTGTTGCTTCGGATCCTGCCCAGAGCCTCACACATGCTAAGAATGGACYGTATCACTGAGCTAAACCCCCAGCCAGTAAGCTACTTTCATGGGGATAAAACTGTAAGATTTAACAAAGGACAAAAGTCAATTAGTAGCTGGCACAGTGATGCACGCCTGTAATCTCAGCAGCTTGGGAGGCTGAGGCAGAAGGATCGTGAGTTCAAGGTCAGCCTCAGCAATTTAGCAAGGCCTTAAGCAACTAGTGAGACCCTGTCTCAAAATAAAATATTAAAACAGCTGGGGATGTGGCTCAGTGGTTAAGTACCCCTGGGTTCAATCCCTGGTACAAAAAAAAAAAAAAAGTCAATTGTTGCTGTTTTTTCAAGGACTAAACAGACTTTTTCCTTTTCTTTTTTTAGTTTTCTCTTTTTTTAGTTGTTGATTATATGTGGTGCTGAGAATCAAACCCAGTGCCTCACGCATGCTAGGCAAGCACTGTACCACTGAGCTACAGCCCCTCAACAGACGTTTTTTTGAACACCTATTCTGTTCCAGGCCTCTTTCCAGTGTCCAGTGCTGAATACTAGGGATAGAGCAAAAATAGCACAATCCCTACTGTCTTGGGGTTCACAGCCTATTTTCCTGTGACTGTCCCCTAATCTCAGGAGAGGCAGCCCTCTCAGAAGGGGTAGTGTTAAGGAGTTAAAGAATCCTGAATTCAAATCCTAGCATTATCATTCACTAACTGTGTAACCTCAGAAAACTTACTTAACTTCTCTGAGCCTTAGATCCCTCTTCTATTAAAAAGAAGCTATGAAGACCTCCAGATCAGAGTTGGTCCAAGGAGTAAACATGGTGGGGGGAGTGAGCTGGCCTGAACAGAGTAGGTGACCACTGTCTTGGCAGTGGGCAAGAGGGAGGATACTGACCCATCCTTCAGAAGAGCTGTCCTCTGGGCCTGAATGGTGTCTGTCCTCCTGGACCCCAGCTAGAGGCTGCAGCGGGGGTGTCTTGGTGCAGGATTCTGTGTAAGAGAGCCTGATGACCCCGGATTGCTGAAAAGTTGCCAGCTCCGTTTTAGAGATGGAGAAACTGAGGTTTGACCAGCATTTTCCAGACGCCTCCCGGGAGGATCTCTCTGCCCAAATGTCTGTCCTCCCCACACCTGACACTAGAGGGCGCGAGGGCTCACAGAACTGGGCTCTGCCTCCGCTGGGAGCCCTCCCCCGGGGCTGGCCCACAGGGTATGTGTGGCCTCCGGGGCTCTGGGTGGCGGGAAGGAGGTGATAGAGGAGGAGAGGAGAAGCAGGACCAGCGGTGGMGACTCAGAGACCCCTGTGGCTTCTCTCTGTCACCCTCTACCTGTCTCTGGTGGTCTTAGCAGCGCACAGCACACCCCACCTGGCATCTCTACCTGTCACTGTAGTCCCCACCTCCTCTCTGTCTCTGAGGGTTTCTCTGGGTGTCTGGCTGGTTCCAACCCACCCTGTTGGCCCCTTGCCTCGGTGTAGCCCAGGTCTCTCCCTGGAGGTGTGTCTGTGAGTTTTGTCTGCCCGTACCTCCGTCTCTGCCTGMTTCTCTCTCCCCCTCTCTCCTTCTCTCTGCTTCTCTGTTTCTGCCACTCTCTCTTTTTCTGTCTCGCTCCATCTCACATCCTGTCCCTCCCTAGCTGCTACCACCCAGCACATGTGGGCTGAGGGTCTCGGTCCCTTCCCTCCCACCTCCTCACCCCTGGCAGCTGCTCACAGGCCTCTCCTGCCGGCCCCTCCTGGGGCTGGCAGGGGGCGGTGAGGGAGGAGGGCCCGGTAGGCTGCTGGGCCCACCCCTTTTTGCCTTCCCAGGCCGGGAGGCTGGGCCAGTGGGCCTTTTAACCAGCCCGCACAGGCTGCTCCTGGCCTCTGTGGTCTCTGCAGCCACCAACCCGGCCAGCATGCAGCAGCCGCCACCACCACCGCCTGGGCCCTTGGCCCCGGCCACCGAGCCCACCAAGCCCCCCTACAGCTACATTGCCCTGATCGCCATGGCCATCCAGAGCTCCCCGGGGCAGAGGGCCACACTCAGTGGCATCTACCGCTATATCATGGGCCGCTTTGCCTTCTACCGCCACAACCGGCCTGGCTGGCAGAACAGCATCCGCCACAACCTGTCTCTCAACGAGTGCTTTGTCAAGGTGCCCCGCGATGACCGCAAGCCAGGCAAGGGCAGCTACTGGACCCTGGACCCCGACTGCCACGACATGTTCCAGCACGGCAGCTTCCTCCGTCGCCGCCGCCGCTTCACCCGTCGGGCAGGTGCAGAGGGCACCAGGAGCCCTGTCAAGGCACGCCGGGGACCCGTCAGGGCCACCAGCCAGGACCCCGGAGTCACCCACACCACGACCAGCAGGCAGTGCCCATTCCCACCAGAGCTGCCAGACCCCAAGGGCCTCAGCTTTGGGGGTCTGGTGGGGACCTTGCCAGACAGCACGTGCCCAGCAACTGCTGATGTCACCAGGCCTCGGCTGCCCATGGAGCCCAAGGAGATGTCCACACCCAAGCCTGCAGGCCCAGGGGAGCTCCCAGTGGTCACTTCACCCTCCCCGTGCCCAGCGTTTGGCTTTCCTGCCAACTTCTCTGAGGCCGAGGGCTTTAGCAAGGCCCCCACGCCCGTCCTGACCCCCGAGGCAGCCGTCGGGAGCGGCTACCAGTGCAGACTGCAAGCCCTCAATTTCTGCATGGGCGCCGACCCGGGCCTGGAGCACCTGCTGGCCTCTGCAGCGCCCTCCCCGGCACCCCCCACCCCGCCAGCCTCACTCCGGGCCCCGCTGCCCCTGCCAGCTGACCCCAAGGAACCCTGGGTYGCAGGAGGCTTCCCTGTCCAGGGAGGCTCCAGCTACCCACTGGGGCTGCCCCCCTGCCTATACCGGACACCAGGAATGTTCTTCTTTGAGTGACAGCAGCCTCACCTCTGTAGGGCCTCTGCCAAACCAGTGCCAGGCTGAGCCTGGCTCTAGGACCTGGAGAGTTCTCAAAGGACCAAGCCCCGGCCGGCCCAGCACCACCTGGACGGGAAGCCAGGACTGGAGCAGCGGCGTTCAGCCGGGCCCTKGGGGCCCCTGGAGAAACTTGGGGGTGAGGGGGCCGGGGTCCTTGGGATTTGTTCTGTGGCTCTTGGCCCCAATAAAACCAGTGTGATGAAGAGGGGCAGCTTGCTGGGTAGTTGGGGCTGAGGGCCGGAAAGCTGGGTTCTACGTGTGGCCGTGGGATGGTGCCGCAGGGGCTGGGGACCCCTAATGGAAATGTCTCGCTGGAGGCTTTCTCCTGCTGGGGACTTTCTTGGGGAGTTTCCCAGGAGCAGAGAATGGGGGCAGGCACAGGAGGGACTCAACCAAGAGACACCAGGCAGGGCGTGAGGCAGGGCTGGCCCAGCCCGAAACCGCGAGAGACTCAATGCCCTCCACCCTCCATTAAGAGTTAAGCGTAGCTCTAATACCTGGGACCCTCTGTGACATTTCTTCTGTCCCAGGCTTGTATCCATCATCTCACCAGGGTGCCACAGAATGGGAGCCCCAATTCCAGTGACAGAAGCTGAGGTTCAGAGGGTCTGGGGTCCTCGGGGCTCATGGGAGTCGGATGGCAGATGAGTGACAGAGAGGAGATGGCAGCCAGGCCCGTGGGCTTTGACCCACAGTTTAAGGGAGATGCAGGAAGGAGAACCCCAGTCCCTTCCTCCTCCAAGGAGGAAGGGCTTCTTTGAGACCCTGGATTGTCAGTGCTAACAAGGTGCCCCTTGTCCCTAGTCCAGACAGGGACCCCTGGGCTTGAAAGCTGTACGGACCCCCTTTTGTGGATTTCCCATAGGAACGGGGACCTCTCCTGGGTTTCCTGGTGGCTCTTTATGAAAGTGTTYCCCTGGGGCTGGGCAGCCTTCCTGGCTGACCTGGGTACTGAGCTTGGCCCTTTCCAGTGGCCCCCTCCCATGGGAACAGGAGACACGAAGACACTGGTGGCGCCCACAGAGGAAGAGACGCGGGAACCTCGCTGTGGCGTCTGTCCTGAAGGAGCAGGCAGACGGTGCCCTCCCAGAGCCCGGTCCTCCCCTGCAGATCATGGGTCCAAGGAGAGGAGAAGGAAAGGGGATGTTGGGGCACCTTGGTGTTGGCCTGGGGCTCTGAGGGTCTTCTGTCCCACGAGGTGACGTCCRGGGTCCTGGAGATCCTTTCATTGGGGAGGTGGCCCCGTCTCCTCCAGAGCCCTCCCCTGGGCAGCTGGCCATGCTGACTTCAGCCCAAGTGGCTCCCCCCTCCCTCAGCAGGTCCCCTGGGGCCTGGGAGGAAGCGAGCCCGGCTGGACGGCCTGAAACGTCTGGTTCCCACAGACTCCAGAGCCGGGGTGGAGGGGGGACCTGCAGGGCGGGGGCTCACTGCAACCAGAAGGGGCTGGGAAAATGCCTGGCCAGCTTCGGGGGCCCCTTCTCCCCACGCCTGTCGCACCCCGCCCCCAAGCCACCAAACAGTGGGGAGAACCATGAGGGTCTGTCCTGCCTCAGGCGGACAGCTTCATGGGTCGGCAGGGGGGGAGAAGGGTCCTCTGGTGCCCGGGCATGGCCCAGGAGGGGGAAACAGACCCCAAGGTGTTTGCCCCACGGCGAGTGCCCGTGTGGGTCAGCGTGTGGCAGGAGGTGTGTGGCCATGCACGCTGTCTCAGTTGGGTGGAGGAAGGAGGCCTCCGCTGAGCACCATTCCCCACGGTGCCTTCCTGTGGGGCCCTGGAGACCCCAGTCTCCTTCCAACCTGTGTCCTGAGCTGGCAGGAGGATGGGAGGCCSACATCCTGTTCCCCACTGAGGAGGGGAGTCCCTGGGGGAAGAGGCCTGAGTCCCTGCTCATTCCCGCCCTGGGGTACCCACCGCATCCAGCAGCCAACTCARCTCTGGGCAGGAGCCCCCTCTGCACCCCTCCCTCTGACCCCTCAAAGACTCCTTCTCTGTCAAGAAGTGAAGACAGGCCCCTCAGCTCCAAGCCCCRGGCAGGAGCCGGGCTCGGTGCCTGCTTGGCCTCACTGCGAGCTGGACTGGCGCCCACCTCTCTGGGCCTTGGTTCTCCTCCCTTTGCCCAGAGGGTGGGGGATGGGCAGTCTGACTCTGGGTCTGAGTCCCTGGGGAGGGTCTGCCCTGGGGGGTGGTCTGGAGGAGGTCCCATCCCCAGAGGAGCTGTGCCAGGAGGCCAGACACCATGATCTCATGTTGCCCCTGCTCACTGCCCAGCCCAGGGACCCCACCCTCTGGGCCTCCTGCCCTCACATTCTTTCCATGACCAACAGACACCTCTGGCTCCCTCCTGGCCACCCCCTTCTGGGTGGGCATTGACGGGGTGGCCATCTCCACACAGATTCAGACACTGAATCTGGGTCACCCAGAGAGAGCCTCCTGGCACACAAAAGGAGAGACTGAGGCCAGAGCAGGTGAGTGACGGCCCGAGCTCACACAGCCAGGCAGGACAGAGCTGCCCGTGGGTCCATGGTCACGTCCCTCTGCTGCCTTCACTGTGAGGTTCTCAGGGGACGGTCGGAGYCATGGGGTCTGACTGCACCTCGGGTGCCCTCCTCCCAGAGGCTGGTCTTTCCCAGGTGAGGACCCCGACCCCATCCCTCCCCACAGGTCGGAGCAAAAAAAGAAGGATCCTGAGCGACCTGGCAGAGGGAGCCTGGACCAAACCCTAAAATGGCAGCATCGTGGGCTTTAAGAATATTCCAGAGTTCTTAATCACCGCCGCTCAGATTCTTGGAATATTGGAGTTGGCCGGCGGCAGCTCCCACCCTGTTTCTGCCTCCCCTCCCTGACCCCACGGAGGCTGCCAGGAGGGAGGAGGCCCCTTCCCATCAAAGCAAGGAYGGTCAGGAAGCTCCTCACCTGCTGAGAGGACTCCCTGCCCGCCAAGGCCACCCTGCCCACAGGCCCGGCCTTCCCCAGCCTCCTCCACTGGGCCTTATCTCCTCTCCCGCCCACCGCTTCCTTCCCTGGTTTATGGCATTCCAAGGCCCGGGGGTCACTGCTCCTTCCCACACCCCAGGAGCGCCCAGGCTGGGCGGAGACCCTCTCCCCCAGAGGGTGGGGCACCGGGAGGCTGCCACAGTGATCAGGAAGCCTGGTGTGCAGGACCAGGAACCCAGGCCTGGGCCCAGACACCCTTCCCCCCCAGGCTCCCGTGGCCCCCAGCCCAGTGCCAGGCCTGAGTGCCTGGGAGCCCACCCCAGCTCCKCGGCTTCTAGCTGCCCGGCAAGTGACTCCCCTTCTCTGTGTTTTCTTCRTCTGTAAAATGTGGACATTCATAGCACCTATGCCCGTGGGGTTGGGAGGATTACATGAGTTAATATTTGCAAAGTGCTTAGAACAGGGACTGGCGCACGGAAATTGCACTCTAAGTGTTTGTTAAGTGAAATAAAAAGGCATTTGGGTCCTGGGCATGTCCCCCTTAACCTGACTTCTCCCCCACCTGRGTGGTGTCTGGTTGCTGTGGAGGGAGGAGGACAGGATGCAGAGGGTTCCGACTGTGACCTAGTCTGAACAAGGCTTTGCCTCKATTTCTGGCCTCTCTACTTCCCTGCTGTGCAAACCTTGAGCCAGTAGATTCACCTCTCTGAGTCTTGTTTTCCTCATCTGTGAAATGGGAGTAATGACTCCTACCCRAGGACTGGTAGGTGGGAAGTCCCATCCTGCAGACTGTGTGTAGGGGTCAACAGGAATGAAACTGGAATTAAAAGCAACCCGCCGGAGGACCTTCTACCCTGGGCCAGTCCTCTCTGACCCTTCCTTCACACATGGCAAAAACCACATCCCTGAAGGTCCAGAGATGCCTCGTCCCTGTTCCCGCCCTGCTGGTGACTCAGGGAGGCAGCTGGTGGGGACRGAGGAAGCGGTTCCATGGCTAAAAACAGGCTAGAGGCCTGTTCCGTCCCCCATCGCCCGAAGGCCAGGGCTGCCCCCTCAGGACCACGCCCTAGAGCCAGCCCCGAGGTCCCTCTGTCCCCCTCGAGTGCCAGGGAAGTCGGCTCCCTGAAGACAGCCTCCTCCCTGCTGGGCTCCCTTTCCATCCCTAGGGCTTTGCACTGGCTGTTCCCTCCTTCTGGAATGTTCCTCCCCACTGGAGGACTCTACATTTTTAAAATTTTCTTTTCCCTTTTTTTTTTTTTTTTTCTTGTGGTACTAGGGATTGAGCCCGGGGACATTTTACCACTGAGCTACACCCCCAGCCCTTTTTGTTTGTGTGTTTGTAAGACAGGGTCCCCCTAAGTTGCCCTGGCTGGCCTTGAATTTGTGATCCTCCTGCCTCAGCCTCCTGCTGGCGACTTCTTAAAATCTAGAGCCCAAGTCAGACACCAGCTCCTCCAAGGAGGCTGCACACCCCRGGCTCTTCCCCCTCTCTGCCCCTGTCCTTGCCATCTGGTGGCTTCTGTGTGTGCATATTCATGTTCAGGCCTCCACCTGAGGATGCAAGACTCAGCCCACCAGGTGGGGCCTGCCTGTTCCTTTCATCCTTGGAGTCCTGGTCACCTTAGTCCAGGCACCAGGGATTATAGCTCAAAGGCCCCCCAGGGCCCCCTCGCCCAGAGCAGCAGTCCCTGTGGGGAAAGGCCTTGAGATCTGGCTGCGACTCCCTCCTCCCTCGCCCTCCAGGCCTTGGCCTGGCTCCTCCTTCGGCCTGGTCCGGTCTCCCACCAGGACCACAAAGTCCTCTCCTCCACCTTGTCCTTCAGTCTCTGCTCAGACGACCGCCATCCTCGCTTCTCCCCCAAGAGCACGTTCTACCTCCATGAGTGCTGGTCAGCTGCCCGCTCTGGAAGGAGCTCYACCCAGGCCTCTTGTCTTCTCCCTGTTTGTCCCCAGCACCTAGAACAGTGTCTGGAACCAGCAGGGGCTCAGGGAACAGCTGTGTGACACCTCATGCAACTTTGGCCTTGACCCTGGGAGGCAGGGACTATTAGTACCCACCTTTCCAGACAGGAACTGGGGCTCAGAGAGGAGCCATAAGTGGATTTGAATCCTTTCTGTTTACCTGGAATTCGGTCACTTGTTCCCAGCCCGTCTGCTTAGAGATGTCTGAGCTCAATACTTCCCGGCTCTCGATCTCAGTGGCCTCCTGAGAAGACAYCGCCTGGCCTCCCCTGCTCTCCCTTCTCCAGT